CCCTCCACACCCCACCACCCCCTCACACCCCCACCACCCCTCACACCCCCACCACCCCTCACCCACCCCTCACACCTCACCCACCCCTCACACCCCACCCACCCCCTCACACCCCACCCACCCCTCACACCCCCACCACCCCTCACACCCCCACCACCCCTCACACCCCCACCACCTCACCCACCCTCACACCTCACCCACCCCTCACACCCCACCCACCCTCACACCCCCCCCACCCACCACTCCCTACCCCATATATCAGACCCCTGCTAACAGACAAACACACCGATAATCATCACTGCTAGGTGAACCCTGTGTGTGTGTGTGTGTGTGTGTTATAAGTCACATAAAAACGTTTTCACACCTTGCAGCGACGTACACACACACACACACACACACACACACAGACCTCCCACGCCTGGGTACAGATAAACCGCGACCACCAGTGTCTTGTCAAACACCATATCATACACGCCCACCTCCACGTAACCCACGCCCATCACCAGACACCCACGCCCCCACCTACACGCCCATGAAGTTTTATCGTCTACTATGCCACGCCTACTGTCTGGTCACACACGCCCATAGACCTGTTATCCCTAACCATCCCACATCAAGACGTCCGCCCACGCCTACACGCCCATCCACGTCCTCAAGAACCCACGCCAGCTAGACTGAGGTTATATATTTAACTGGTTTGTGTGTGTGTGTGTGTGTGTGTGTGTGTGTGTGTGTGTGTGTGTGTGTGTGTGTGTCACCACCAAAATGCCTTGTTTTTATCCCCGCCTCACCACCCTGACAAGACGGTGGGAGATGCTATTTGTCTGTTGCTCCTGTCTGACTACTTGACCACCCCTTCCTCCTCCTCCCTCAACCCCCACCCAAGATACCTCCCCCCCTATACCCCTGCTACGACAGCTACACCCTGCAACACCTTGAATGCCCCGCTCTCTGTCACCTCTCCTATACCTACACCTCTACACCTGCTACACCCTATAACACCCTCAAGATGCATGCATACACTCTCTCGGCCTTAGCTTGGATACCTACTCTCTCTCTCTCTCTCTATCAAAAGTGTGGTAAAATATCCTCTTATTTTTGATTTTTTATTTTCTTATTCCTCAATATTTATCTGATTTTCCCCCTTAATCTATTTCTTCTTTAGAATTTTCTTTCATGTTTATTGTCAGGTTTATTTATTTTTATTGAATTTAAATTTTTTCTCTTATTTTTATAGCCTGGGAAAGGAGGATTTTTTCTCAAGTTAATTTTTTTTCACAACATTGGTACTTTTTCCTACTTTTCCCTACATGAAGATATTTTCCCTACATGAAGATATTTTCCCTTCATGACATTATTCCCTACATGAAGATATTTTCCCTTCATGACATTTTTCCCTATATGACAACATTTTTCATAAGCTGGGCGATATTTGTAATATTTTTTTTACCCCTTCTCCAAGATTTTAACCCAGCACCTTGACAGGGAAACTTCCCCAGCTGGGCGGCCACCAGGAAGATTACTGTCAGCCACTTATTATTAGACGCTCGGCCTGGGGTAAACAATGGCTTCTTTTTCTCTAGCTAGAATATTTTTTTTCCCTTCACTCTACCTAGGCTGTTGCGAGGAGATACAGGGGAGGTAGCTGGTGTATGTGTGTGGATAAGGACACACACACACACACACACACACATGTACACTCTACACACCAGACACACACACACACACACATACCACACATACACTCTACACAACACTTCAGCTTACATCTGAGGCTTTAAGGTGGGAGGTGCTCTCTCTCCTCACATATAGGAATACTAAATTATGACACTAGATAATGCACACTCCCTCTCTCCTGCCATCTCCTCCCTCCCTCCCTCCCTCCCTCCCTCCCCCTCCCTCCCTCCCTCTCTCCCTCTCTCCTTCTCTCCCTCCTTCCACCTCCCTCCCTCCCCCTCCCCTCCCTCCCTCCCTCCTCCCTCCCCCTCCCTCCCTCCTTCCTCTCTCCTTCTTCCCTCTCTCCTCATCTCCTTCCCTCCTCCCTCCCTCTCTCCCTCCCTCCCCTCTCCTCCCTCCACCTCCCTCCTCCCTCCCCTCCTCCTCCCTCCTCCCTCCTCCTCCTCCCTCCTCGTTCAGTTCACACACACTAACCTAACCTAACCTGACCTGACCTGACCTGACCTGACCTGACCTGACCTGACCTGTTCTACTATCTAATGGGGCCAATGCTGTTATTTAATGAGTTTATTTTTGATAAATTATTTTTTACGATTATTTTTAGGTTTATTTCTGGAGTTTATTATTTACAGGTTTATTTCTGGAGTTCATTATTTCCAGGTTTATTTCTGGGTTTATTATTTCCAGGTTTATTTCATCATTACTATTTCCAGGTTTATTTCTGTCTTTATTTGTTTATATTTTCATCTTTACTATTTCCGGTTTATTTCTATCTTTACTATTTGGTTTTATTTCTCAGTTTATTATTTCAGATTTATGTGTGTGGTTTATTATTTCCAGGTTTATTCACAGAACTTACCATTTTCATTTCCAGTGTTATTTCTGGATGTTGTTATTCCCCGTCATATTTCCAGGTCACGTTGATTCCTCTGGTTTATTTTTGGTCCTGTGTTTCCAGGTTTATATCCAGGTCTCGTTAATTTTCGTTATTTACTGTGTGTGTGTGTGTGTGTGTGTGTGTGTGTGTGTGTGTGTGTGTGTGTGTGTGTGTGTGTGTGTCGCCATTATTCTCCATCTATAAATTCTTTTGTTTATTTTTGGCGTTCAGAGTCCGTGTTCATTTTGGGGTGTTGATTTAGACCATACTGGGTTTGGCTCTTATTACTGGTCTGCTCTATTGCTGGTTTATTACTTGGTCTGCCTATTACTGGGTCTGCCTTATTACTGGGTTCGTTTATTACTGGGTCTGTTTATTACGGTCTGCTTATTACTGGACCTTTGTAGGTATAACTGGGTGTACCTATTTCCGGGTGGACTTCATTATATCACGTACAGTACATAAAATACGGTGATGTTTGTTTGTTATTATTGTTATTGTTAATTGTTATTGCTGTTGTTGTTTGTTGTTCTTGTTCTTGTTGTTCTTGTTCTTGTTGTTCTTGTTCTTATTGTTCTTGTTCTTATTGTTCTTGTTGTTCGTGTTCTTATTGTTCTTGTTGTTCGTGTTCTTATTGTTCTTGTTGTTCGTGTTCTTATTGTTCTTGTTGTTTGTGTTCTTATTCTTCTTGTTCTTATTGTTCTCGTTCTTTCGTGCTTCTCTATCTTATTGTTCCTGTTGTTGTTCTTCTTCAATAACTGGCTGGGTGACGTTCTTTCATCTCCAATTACGTGGAAAATTGGACTTACGAACCATTGAGAATCTTATCTTTTATCTCGTGTGTGTGTGTGTGTGTGTGTGTGTGTGTGTGTGTGTGTGTGTGTGTGTGTGTAAGGGAAATTTATTTTACGAGACTTTTAGAAATGAGTGAGTTGGAGGAATCTCTTGAGTACGATGATTTAACCCTTGAGTTAAATCATTGTACTAGGGTTAATTCTCGTACTCAGGGCCCAATCATCGTACTCAAGGGGTTAAATCACCATACTCAAGGGGTTAAATCACCATAGTTAACAGGTCAAATCATCGTACTCAAGAAGGTCAAATCTCCGTACTCAAGGGGTGAAATCATCGTTCTTAATAGGTTAAGCTATCGTACTCAGGGGGTCAAGGCGTACTCAAGGGTTACTAATACTCTCCAAGTACTGTGACTCTGTGTACTCCTACAGCTCACCAGTGACACATCTCTCTCTGAATACATCAACTCAAACACGATTTGGCAGTTGGGATATGCGTGTCAGGATGTGTCACTGTCCTCTGCATCAGGTATGTGTTATTGCCCTGTGTCAAGTGTGTGTCACTGCCTCTGTGAGGTATATGTCACTGTTCTGTATGTTAGGCATGTGTCGCTGTCCTTCTGTATCAGGCATGTGTCACTGCCTCTGTATTAAGCATGTGTCACTGTCCTCTGTATCAGGCATGTGTCACTGCCCTGGCTGTATCAGGCATGTGTCACTGTCCCCTGTATCGCCATGTGTCACTGCCTGCTGTATCAGCCATGTGTCACTGCCCTCTGTATCAGGCATGTGTCACTGCCTGCTGTATCAGCCATGTGTCACTGCCTCTGTATCAGGCATGTGTCACTGCCCGCTGTATTTCATGTGTCACTGCCTCTATCAGGCATGTGTCACTGCCCGCTGTATCAGCCATGTGTCACTGTCTGCTGTATCAGCCATGTGTCACTGCCTCTGTATCAGGCATGTGTCACTGCCCTCTGTATCAGCTATGTCACTCTCTGTATCAGGCATGTGTCACTGCCTCTGTATCAGGCATGTGTCACTGCCTGCTGTATCAGCCATGTGTCACTGCCTTCTGTATCAGCCATGTGTCACCTCTGTATCAGCATGTGTCACTGCCTGCTGTATCAGCCATGTGTCACTGCCCTCTGTATCAGCCATGTGTCACTGCCTGCTGTATCAGCCTTGTGTCACTGCCCTGCATCAGGCATGTGTCACTTCCTCCAGATCAGCTATGTGTCACTGCCTCTGTATCAGCCATGTGTCACTGCCTGCTGATCAGCCATGTGTCACTGCCCTCTGTATTCATGTGTCACTGCCCCAGACACATGTGTCACTGCCCTCTGCATCAGGCATGTGTCACTGCCTGCTGTATCAGCCATGTGTCACTGCCCTCTGTATCAGGCATGTGTCACGTTCTCTGTATCAGCCATGTGTCACTGCCCTGTATCAGCCATGTGTCACTGCCTGTATCAGCTATGTCACGCCCTCTGTATCAGGCATGTGTCACTGCCTGCTGTATTAGCCATGTGTCACTGCCTGCTGTATCAGCCATGTGTCACTGCCCCTGTATCAGCATGTGTCACTGCCCTCTGTATCAGCCATGTGTCACTGTCTCTGTATCAGCCATGTGTCACTGCCTCTGATCAGCCATGTACTGCCCGCTGTACAGCCATGTGTCACTGCCCTCTGTATCAGCCATGTGTCACTGCCCGCTGTATCAGCCATGTGTCACTGCCTCTGTATATGCATGTGTCACTGCCCGCTGTATTAGCCATGTGTCACTGCCCGCTGTATTAGCCATGTGTCACTGCCTCTGTATCAGCCATGTGTCACTGTCTGTATCAGCCATGTGTCACTGCCCTCTGTATCAGCCATGTGTCACTGCCCTCTGTATCAGCCATGTGTCACTCTGTATCGTTTCATGTGTCACTGCCCTGTATCAGCCATGTGTCACTGCCCTCTGTATCAGCCATGTGTCACTGCCTCTGTATCAGCCATGTGTCATCTCTGCTGCATCAGCCATGTGTCACTGCCCGCCGTATCAGCCATGTGTCACTGCCCTCTGTATCAGCCATGTGTCACTGTCTCTGTATCAGCCATGTGTCACTGCCCTGTGTATCAGCTATGTGTCACTGCCTCTGTATCAGCCATGTGTCACTGCCTGCTGTATCAGCCATGTGTCACTGCCCTCTGTATCAGCCTTCATGTGTCACTGCCCTCTGTATCAGCCATGTGTCACTGCCCTCTGTATCAGCCATGTGTCACTGCCTCTGTATCAGCCATG